CAACTTTTCATTTTCCGTCGGTTTTAGTACACGATGTAACTACAGAAGAGTCAAGTTTTAAATAGGAAAAATATCGAAACTTTTTGGTCATTTTTGAGCGAGATGCTAACGGTCTAATCAGATTCAATGATCTATGCTAAGCTGCAGCTAAAGTGCTACCGCCAGACCCGGAGACCGGCTGAATGGATTCGAAAACGGTAAAACTCAACTGTTTAACTCTAGGGGAGTTGGAAAATGAGCCTATTTTCAAAAATAGTGGAGTGTTCCTTTAAGATTTATATATTTGAATTACATATAAAGTTTCAGTTCATTTTCATTCCAATTTTAACGTGATGCAGTCAGTCACACATACATGAAACAGGTAAGATACGAGTAAGATTTTTGTAATAGTACTATAATCTGAATGTGTTTTAAATACACAATAAACAATGTTTATATAATCGTCAATCACCAGTTAGTATAAATGCATTTTGAAAAACTTTATTTAAATAAAATCTAATAAAAATACTTAATAATAAACTATGCTATGATTTTTGAGCGCAGAAATTTTACCTGTTTGTTTATGTTAAAACTGTGTTTTCTAAATGTATGCAAATTTTATATGCAATTCAATTGCATAAATATTAAATGTAGGCCTAAATAGTTTTTTTTTATGTATTGTTTAAGCTATAAAGTTATTTAAATAATCATTTTACAGTTGTTTAAGGGTTTATACCATTGCATTGTCATGATGAAGTTGTAAAATTGCATATGACACTATAAACAAAATGTTAGTAAGCATTTTTTTTTTCACCTTAAATTCATAGCATGCATATTGTTCATATCTTAAGGCTATACTATGACATTGAGCATTTTAACGTTTATAGACTGGCCGCGTTCGCTTCCATTGTGCTTCACTGTAACCCTGATTGGTTTTGTTAATTTTTAACAAAATAAGGGACAAGTGCAGATTTTTTTTGTGGTTTATCAATATTATGCCACAAATGCTGTCATTGTGGCATGTGGATCCTGTGTGTAAATACATTTCTGCAGTGGTGGGCTGCATTCAGGTGGTGTGTTGTTGTTACAGGGGTTTTGAACATGAGCACTGGACTGCAGCCTCTCAGGTTACACTGAGCTGCATTTAAGATGTTAACTGGTTATGTTACTAGAGAAGAGCACAGCAAGCCAGTGTTTGCACATCTCTCTGTCTCTCCCTGTTACCACCCACATAAATTTCTAAAGAGGTGAAAGAAAAGACTCTTTCACGCTGTTCACTTGCAGTGTCACAACCTGAGGCTGCATCGTGTTTATGAGAAACATTTAATTTACAACTCAGCGCATTCACAGCATGCATTGTGTTTGTGTTCTTATTTTGTATTTGTGAAACTGCCTATTTGTACTTTTTATTTGGCTGAATGAGTATAAATCTGAATCTGGGGCATATTTCAACCAAAACGAAAATATTAAGAAAGTATAATTTATGATTTAGAAACTGAAGTTTATTTTAATGGAAATTAAGAATTTTGTTTTTTTTGCATGACAATTAAGACGCACCTCTCTCCAAATTTAAAATACATTATTTCAAAATTGTCATTATTGTGAATGATTATTACTTTAATGAGAAGCATGTCTGGATATAATGATTATTTATGTATTTATAATATACATAACTGCTTTTTCAGTTTTAAAAGATCACTTTCATTTATTGCTTTGAATAAATTAAATTACAACATATTCTAAAATGGTATATAATTATGAAAATTGCATTTATTTTATTTATTAATTTATATGTTTATAAACAATGATTGCCACTAAACTACAATGATTTATTGTAAAACATATATTTTACAAGCAAGCAAGCAAACAAACAAACAAACAATCAAATAAATAAATAAATACCATGAAGTATAATTACTTTGAAATGTAAATATTTTTATTTAACCTGGACATTTTCTTGATATTATTCACCATTATATGAACCTGGCAGACACACATCAAGACTGATCTGCTCTCACCTTTACTGACCAAGCAAATGAGATTATTGCCTCATGAGCGAGAGAGGGGAGAGAGAGAAGGAGTGAGGGAGTGTGAGAGACAGAAACAGAGGAGTCAGAAGGAAGGAGGCAGAGAAGGTTGAATGAGGTTTGTGTGAGGTGGGCTGCACTTTCATTTGAGCTGTCATGGTACTTTTTACCGTTACTTGAGGACTAACGAATACCCTCCTGAATCTGACCTGCTGTTGGACTTCATGCGCTGAAGGAGAATCAGTAAGAAGTAAAACCACCGGGGCTCTTGCGGTCCGTCCTCGTCAGAGAAAAAGACACACATACAGAGACTGATGCGGGGTTCGCTGCGTGGGTCTGTCCGGTGAGAGACATTGGATTTTAAACCGACATGGTGGGTTAACGTTTGAGTGATACGGAGACCGTCCGGTAAATTCCTGACAGGAGCAATGAATGATTTCGCGCGCGGTGCGCGTGAGTGAAAACGCTCGCGTTAACTGTTGCTGTGAACGGCCGTCTGCATGAACATGAGGAGAGGAAATAACTGAAACAAACTGCTTGAGTAAGTAGTATTATGTTGATTTAAAGAATTAATAATATGCTATTATGGTCTAAGAACGTAGGCTATTTGAGTGTCATTAGTTGATCTTTGTTTCTCTTGAGCATCGAAGTCCATTTGAAACGGATTAGATGAGAGATCTCTGTCTGTTACATTTAAGCAATAACAAACAAAAAAAAATAAACTCTTTTATTCATCATTCATCTCCTCTCTAGATCCGCATCTGTAGCCCCTTGAATCCATTTGGGAGGGGGGAAAAACATGATCGATTAATTTCTCTGTGAAGTTTTTTATTCATTCAAGTCATGTCTGGTAAAATGAAGTCAAATGCTACTCGACGTGATATTATTTTTGAGCATATTTCAGAGGTTTACTAGGCTATCTGATGGATTAAACTTTCCCGTTTCATTCACTCCCATCAACCACATAATTTAACCCATTTGTTTCTATTTTCTCATTGCAAAGACAGCACAGAACCTGCATCTGTAGCGTGTGGAAATGTTTTATGATGTAAGGGTAGGCTACTATAGTGTATTTATTAGTGTAGTATTATAGTAGGCTATATTTATTAGTATAGTATTAGTTTACATATATATACTCTGTATATATTATCTGTCACCATTGCACCTCCTGCCACCCAAAAAACCTGCTTAATCTGTCCGTTTTTACCATTTTTATACATTTAGGTTTATTTATGGATCTGTTATAGACGGGCAATTTCCTGTTAACTGCATGATCAGCCAATCACAGTGACATGAGGCATTGCCTCCTCTCACGTCATTCTTCACTTGTATTTCACCATTAACACCTTACATTAATTTGCGTTTTAGTTGCTACTGGACTTTTCCACTTTATTGACTTTATTATTACATTTATGTTTTCCAGAATTTATCTGCTAAAAAAGGCTTGAATAATGAGTCAGTGATGTGCTGTTGGTGTAATGAATAGATCAGTGAGACAGGCGCTCAGTTGGCATCTGTGTTCAGCTGACACCATTGATATGGAGAGAAAGAGTGCATGTCTCTCTCTCTCTCTCTCGTTCTCTCTCTCTCTCTGTGTGTGTGTGTGTTAGTTAGGAGGAGGACTGGGGTGATCTCATGAGTTACTGTGCATGTTTCAGTCTAAAGTTTCGGTTTACAGAAGCTTCATTAGTTAGAGATGATACGGTCACCCTGTGCTTTATTAGGAGATCAAGACAATTAAGAAGCTTTGAGATCAGTCAAAACGTTTAACAGTGTGATTATGTTTGTAACTTGTAATGATGAAATACTGTGACATTGCGATTCCTTTCATGCTTGTTGAAATGTATCTCTCATTTACATCTGCAGTTCTTGCCAGTTGATGAGGCAATTAATGCAGGATTTAACTTTTTAACAGTAATTAGTTTGGAACATTGTTGTGTTGATTATATTTGAATCATGTCATCCAAATACTCGAATAAGTCTTATAACTGGAGACCATACAATATGGTTCAAAATATTTTTTTATGTTTTAAGTATCTTATGCTCACCAAGCCTGCATTTATTTGATCAAAAAGTAAAAAAAGGAATATTGTGAAATATTTTCACAATTTAAACGAACTGTTTTCTATTTTAATAGATTTTAAAATGGTATTTAGGTCATTTAATCTTGCAATGACAAAGCTAAATTTTCAGCAGACATTACTCCAGAGTCACATAATCCCCCAGAAATCATTTAAATATGCTAATTTGGTGCTCAATGTCAATCATATTTGGTGCTTAATTACTAATAATGGTTCTTATTATTATCAATGTTGAAAACAGTTGTGCTGTTTAATATTTTTGTGTAAACTTTGTAGAAATAATTCTTGTGTAAACTGTGATATATTTTTTTCAAAATTATTTTGTGAATAGAAAGCATTTATTTTAAATATATATTTTTTGTAACAGTGTAAAAGTTTTTATTGCCAATTTGATCAATTAAAAGCATCCTTGCTAAAAAGAAGTACTAAACTTACTGACCTTAACAATATTTGAACAATACTGAATGTTCAGTAATAATTTTTATAAAAATGTGTTTAGAATACCATTATTATTTATGCAACAAAACTATTTTGAATATGTGTTTTTATTTGCTCATTGTCATATGACATAACTTACAGTAGTAAAAAGACTGATGCAAGTCGCACAAGCCTAAAATATATGGTTCCCGGTTCATTCCGAATCTGACTGAAAATTGACTCGCCTTATGATTCAGTTCACTTATCAATAACGTATTGAAGAATAAACTCTTTTTGCAGATTTGTTAGAAAAGTTACACACTATATTTTAATATTTTAGGAGTTATTCACTATTTACGCAATGTTTTACTCGAGGTGTTGCTTTAACTCAATTATTTATTGCTGGGATTAGAAACCAATGAGGTTATGCTTCTCAGTGTGATACTTTGCCCAGCATGAGATACAAGAACGTGGTAAAGTTTGAAGGAATCTCTGTTTTCATCTTAACCAGTTTTCTGAAAGTCTGTGGTTTGTGAAACTGTCTCAGGAGGTGGTCTGTTGCTCAGCACACTGGAAGTATTATGAGCATCAAACTGCTGTAAGCACTTCTGACCAGTGAAGCGCAGGAAATGGGAGCTGTACAGTGACATGGTTTAAAGGGCCCTAAGGCAATTACACGGAGGTCAAAGTCTTAGACATGCACCTGACCTTCATTCGCCTTGTGTCTGAGTTGACCTTTGACCTTTTAATGCCTATAATACAGCTTCAGGCGTCTTAGAACTTACCAGAGGTCTTATGATTACTAAGTGGGGAGAAGAGGATGGTGAAGGTTGTGTTGTGTGTGAAATAGCAAGGACTTCATTATGTGCCTGTAGGTTGTTTGCACGTTTGTGGAGTATCAGCCTGTGTGGTATCTGGGTTTAGGCATGACTTTATTCATATAGTCCACAGACTATATGCACTGTGGACACCTTAGAGAACACATTTCAGCATTAGCTGTGGGTAGTGATGCCTGAAATGATTTCCATTCACACAGCCACGCAGACAGAGATGGAAGGAGAGAAAAGCTGTGAGGCAGAGAGAGAGAGAGAGAGAGAGAGAGAGAGAGAGAGAACAGCTGGAGAGAGACCAAGATGGACAGACGCACTGGAAGGTAGCATCTTGGGACAGAGGGAAAGATTTTAAGGAATACTTGAGCCAAAAAATTAAACTTCTGTCTTCATTTACTTAGGCTTATGTTGTTACAGACCCCTATGACTTTATTTCTTCCAGGGAACACAAAGAATTGTACTGGTTGCTCTTTTCGATTCAATTAGTGCCCATAGGGACTGAAGCTTTCAAGCTTCAAAAAGGATGCAAATGCACCATAGGAGTATCATAAAAGTGGTCCATAATAAGTAAATTGGTTATATAATGAGAGCGCATACAACTTTTATTTTTAACCATATTTTCCATGAAACAACATTGTGATTCTACAGAGCCCAGAACATGACGTATGGAAGAAAAAATAGGATGTGGCAATTAATTAATTATGTTTTATAAGAGGGGTCATGAAATTTTCAGATCGCTATATTATGTTTCTGGAGGTTAGCTTATGAAGTTAGTAGTGGTTAGTATGATGTTTTTTTGCATCAAAAAATTCAAATATTTGTAAAATTATAATTTTTCAGCTTAATTTTCAGTGTCTGTTGCAAACAGTTAATTTCAAGGGACATTACATCTCTCAGAAACGCAAGAGAGGTAACAGCAGAAGCCCTCTGAAGACATATGATAACAACATTTAGGTAATCTATTGATAGTCTTACCATTGAGTGAGCTGTTGAACTCGAGAATTAGAGTCTGATTTGTGATTGAATCAGACTGTTTTTGATTCAGTTAAAAGATCTTTCTCAAAAGAATGATTCATAAATCATGCAGTACATCTATTTGAGCACTGAATTGGTGCTCAAGAAATGTTTCTCTTAGACATGTCCCAAGGAGAGCTAGGGCACATTTTCAAATACATATTGACTTAAAGTTTGTTTTGTTCCATAAACATAGTTTTAGTGTTACATTTTGTATTTACATTTATGCATTTGGAGAGAATTTTGTCCAAAGCAACTTACTGTACATTCCATTCTTGATTTCCTGGGAATCGAACCCACAACCTCAATGTAGATACACTAAAATTATATTTTTTGAAGATTACTGGACTGTTTTACAAGAAAATACAATTTCAGTCTTTTTTACTTCAAAAACTCTCATTTGATTCATTGTGTTACTTGTCGTGTCTGTAATTATTTGAGTGAAATTTTTTTTCAAAGTAAATTCTACACCAATTTTCTTTTCAGTTTAGTGCCATGCTCTACCATTTGAGCTACGAGAAGGCAGGTGTGGTGTCAAGAGTCTTGGAATGTAGCACATGAGTCATATGGACCACTTTCATGATGCTTTTCAGGAATGTAGAGGGAACTGTAGGTACATTCAGGGCTGTTGTACAGTGAGTTGGCTGCAGTGCCAACTGTATGACTATAACTCCAATGATATTCTCCTCTCTTCCGTGTACATGGTCTCTGATGTGTGAAGGCCAGGCTGGATTTCTCCTGCATGCATCTTTACCTCATTCAGCCTCTCTCAGCTGTCTGATTCATCTCTAATCAGCTTCTGCCCAATGGGAGTCCCCCGGGATGACAGCAGCAGGGGAGACAGCTAAAGCCAGAGGTTTAGAGCTCAAACAGAAAGGGAGCAGTCGGAGAGGTCTGGAATCCAGACTTCGGTGCATAAAAGAGTGCTAATGTATCTGGTTGAGATGCTATAGTTTGCAGAGGCAGACAGAGGTTCAAAGAGCTATTTAGAAGAGAACTGAAGAGTTTGGAGGAACAAGATGAGCGTATATTGATGTAGGCGCTAGTGCTGCTGCAGAGAATGGTTTAGAGCAGACGTGAGGTCTGAGGAGATGAGAGTGAGGTTCAGACTGCTGATGTTTGGGCAGATGCGATCATCTCAGGTACAGATGCTGTTTGGAGAGCTTCAGTAGAGCAGTATGCAGGATATCAGATG